ATTACGTTAGATGAAATTAGCAAGTCACTCGTGGATAAACACTGCATGATTCCACTTAGATAAGATATATAAAGTTGTCAAGTTTATGGAATTATAGCATAAAATGATGCTTGCTAAGGTTAGGGAAAAGGGGAAAATGGGGAGTAGCTAGACAAAGAGCATAAAGTCTCAATTATGCAAGCTGAACAAATTCTAGAGATTTATCATAATACATTGCACCTATATTAATAATACTTTATACTTCAAAATTGTTAAGAGGGTAGTTTTCATGTTAAATGTTCTTACTATAATAAAACTATTTAAAAATAGAAAATTAGGTGCAAAAATACATAAAAAGGCCACATATCATGAAATATTGATGTTTATGCCAATAATGGTTACTTAACATTAGAAAGCAAATTAATATATTTATAAACCATGGGAGTGAAATGATATGATCTCAATAGAGACAGAATAAATCATTTGGCATAAATATATGCCACCTTGAAAATATTTTCCATCAAATTAGAAGTAGAAGATCTTTCTCAACCTGGCAAAGGCCATTTTTTAAAATATTAGAGCTAAGCTTAAGCACAAAAATGACAAATTGAGGGTTTATGCTGTAAGATAAATAGCAACACAAAGATGTCTGTGTTTAAAACTGATACTCAACTTTGTATTAGTTGACTAGTCATGACTAGTTGACTAGTCATTTGTTCTAGTGACTGTGATTAGGCAAGAAAAAGAAAGAAAGGCATTCAGTTTTAAAAAGAAGGAGACAAAGTTGTCTTTATTCATCTTTGCAGAAAATCCAGTGGAATCGAAAATATGTGAGTTTAGACAGGTTGCAAGATTAAAGATGCACAAGAAATTGTAATTGCAAATGAAAAAATAAAAAATTGGAATTGGGAAATACGATTTATAATAATTTAAAAAATAGAATACTTGAGGAAATCTCATAAAAATGTAAACCTGAATACTAAAAACTATAAAATATTACTGAATGTAATTTAAATATATTGAGATACAAGATATATACTTTGGTTAAGGATAGGAAGACTCAGAAATAAAAAGGAATTAACTATTTAATACACTTAAAAACATAGATGAATATGAAAACAATTATGTTGAGTAAAAAATACAAACAACAGATATACACACTATGTGACTTTGTATAAAACAGTAGAAAATAAGCACCTATAGTAATAGAATACAGTGTACTATTTATCTATGGGTAATGAGGGAGCAAGAAGAAAGTATTACACAGAGGCAAAATGACAGTTTTGGAGGTGACATATGTTCTTCATATTGTTGAAGGGGTGGTTTCACATAAAGGGTAGATATGGAAATATACCATATTTATCTATTTGTCGGACACAGGGTCATGTTCTGTTCTCCAGGCTGAGGTGCAGTGGCACCATCATAGCTCACTGAAAGCTCCTCATCCTGGGCTCAAGCACTCATCCTGCTTCAACCTTCTAAGCAGCAGGGACTACCAGTGCATACCACCACACCCAGCTAATTTTTCTTATTTATTTATTTATTTATTTATCTATGTATTTATGTATTTATTTTTGTAATTTTGCTCTGTTGCCCAGGCTGACCTCTAATGATTCTCCCACATTGGCCCCCACAGAGTACTGGGATTACAAGCATAAGCCACCACATCCAGGCCAAGTATTTGAAGTTTATTGTATGTGAGTTATACCACAACAAAGTTATTAAAAATAAATAATGTCTAAAAAATCATAAAAACAAGCCCTACAGAGGAGAGAATATAAAAAATGAAAAAAAAAACCAATAGGGAGAAGTATCATTAGTCAGTACAGAAATGGAAAATTAAATGCACAACTATATACAAATACATACCATCTAGGTCTTTAGATAAAAATAAATGACAATACTGTGTGCCGGGCAAGGATGTGTGTACTAACACACTCATATAAACCACTGGTGAGATAGTAAGCAAATTTTATATATAAATTTTTAAATTATTATCTAAAGCAGTGGTTCTCAACCTGTATTCAAGGGCCATGGCATTAGGAAGGTTGATCTAAAGGAACTAAATATATGCCCACCTAGGACTTAGAAATTCAACCCTTAGACACATAACAGCTTCTGAACAGCTATGGACACAGTGAACAAAGCAAATAGACAACTTCAGAATGGGAGAGAATATTCACAAGTTACAAATTGGACAAAGGGGTAGTTGATGAGACTATACAAAGAACTCAAGCAAATCAACAAGGAAAGAGCAAACAACCCCATCAATGGACAAGCTGCATGAACAGAGCCTTTTTCCTGAAGACAGATGAATGGCCAACAAACAAATGTAAAAACGTTTATCTCTAATAATCAGAGAAATGCAAAGCAAAACCACTTTTAGCTATCACCTAACACCAATGAGAATAACCCGTATCATAAAGTCCCAAAGCTATCACCTAACACCAATGAGAACAACCCACATCATAACCTTGGACCTTGGTGGGATTGCAAACTAGTACAGCCTTATGGAAAGAAGTATGGAGAAGTATGGAAAATCTTAAAAGAACTAAAAGTAGACATCCCATTTGATCTCGCAATCCCATTATTAGGTATCTACCCAGAAGAAAAGAAAATCATTTTACCATAAAGTCATTTGCACTGGAATGTTTATAGCAGCTCAATTCACAATTACAAAGATTGTGGAAACAGCCAAGTGCCCATAAGCCCTTCAATGAATCAAAAATTATGGTATGTGTATACCATGGGATACTTTTCCACCATGGTAAATAGTAGATGGATTTGGAGACCCTTCTCCTAAGTAAAGTGTCTCAAGAATGGAAAAGCAAGGATCCCATGTACTCAGTTCTAATCTGAAAATAGTAGATAGTAGTACAGGCCCACACAAGAGAAAAACACAATTAAATTCAAGCAAGGGGAAAGGGGGAGGAGGGTACCTGCACTCGAATGTTTATAGGAGCACAATTCACAATTACAAAGACGTGGAAACAACCCAAGTGCCCACCCGCACATGATAGGATTAATAAAATGTGGTGTATGCATACTGAGTACTACTCAGCCATCCATAAAAAAAAAAGTGGTGATTCTAGTATCTTTTGCAGTAACCTGGAGGGAACTGAAAACCATTCTTCTAAGTGAAACATCACAAGAATGGAGAAACAAACACATGTACTCAATAACAAGTTGGAACTAATAAGTCCACATATGGAAGTAAATCTCAATGAATATCATTGAGAGGGGGATAGGGTCAGAGGGGGTGGGTAAATTCACACCTATTGGGTACAGTGCTCACTGTCTGAATAAAGGGCATAGCTGTACCTCTGACTCAGGCTGTATAAAAACAAAGCATGTAAACAAAACATGTGTACCGCCTAATATACTGAAATTTTTTAAAAGTACATTTTTTAAAGTAAAAAAATACAAAAATTAAAAATGCATAAAACAGCAACATAAATTGACTCTTGGCATAACTATTTTGCTATTGTGTGTATTGTGTATTTACTTTTCCTTTCTTGTTCTATATCCAACATGTCATACAACTAGATCTTCCAATGTGCATTTGCCCATTTCAGAGAAAAACCCCAGAAACTAATAGAAAATTAATGTGTCTATCCCCTGAGGATATTTGGTACAAAGTCGTACATAAGAAAAAAAGTCTTTCCCATCCCAAAGCCTACAAAGATATTTGCAGAATGAAGAAAGGCAGAATGCAGGTAAGACTAGGAGGAAGTATAGTAAAAATGAAACAGATCAGAGGGCCTGGACTGAGTGTGGTACTAATGGGGTGGTACCAGGCTGTGAGAAAGACACAGCCTTGGATCACAGTATCCTCCATTCAAGCTGACACCTTCTGTCAAAAGCCCTTAAATTATGTGGGATCTGCAAAAATAACATATGAACTATAATTGGGAGGCAACAGAAATTTTCTTCTCCCAGTGGAAAATATTCTTGGCCTAAATTTTTCTCCAAAATTAGACATCACTCATCATACTTAATACCTTCTGTTTGCTCAATTATCTTGAAAATAATCAACATTTTTGAGTTATCAGGGGGAAAATTGGACACTGGAAGCCTCATGGGCTAAGTATGTAAAAAGTAACAAATAGAACCTATGTTTGTATGTAGCTAAATGAAAATAGCTGAGATTCATTGTTGGCAAAAAGTGATGAAAGTTGAACAGCTTTGGTTCACTACAGAGACAACCACTCTATGTGTCAAAACCCAAACAGAAGAAATTCCCTTATGGGCAGAGACTGGGGAGATGAGCTAGTTGGTACCAAAAGTTACTGATTTTCATTACAAATGTATCCATTACATTTAAATTTTAATTAAAAACATTATTTTGGCTCTGCGCCTGTAGCTCAAACAGCTAAGGCGCCAGCCACATACACCAGAACTGGCAGGTTGGAATCCAGCACAGGCCTGCCAAACAACAATGACAACTACAATCAAAAAAAAGCCAGGCATTGTGGCAGGTATCGGTAGTCCCAGGTACTGGGGAGGCTGAGGCAGGAGAATTACTTAAGCCCAGGAGTTGGAGGTTGCTGTGAGCTGTGATGCCACAGCACTCTACCCAGGGCAACAGCTTGAGGCTCTGTTTCAAAAACAAAAACAAAAACATTATTTTGTAATCACATGGAAAACAAAACTAAAGCATATCAAGTTTCCAGAAAGTGCAGCACAAAATTTGTCTTAGTTGAAGTCGAACATTTGAAAGCTATTATATTCTATCCTGTATGTTTCATTATGTAACTTAAGTGCATTTTTTCCTAAGTCAATCTTCATACAAGAATGTGAAGTCTTCAGTTCATAGTCCTATTTATATTTTGATATATAAAATTTAGAAGGACCTTTCCTCTTCTGGGTCTTTGTATATAAAAAATCAACTTTGTTCTTAATTATTATCACTTAATTGAAATATAAAGCTATAAAGCAAATAGAGATGTCAATATAAATTTCTTAGGATATACATCCTAAGGATATATATGAAGCAGTTACAAAATGGAGTTGGTTTTTGATAGCTCTGAGGGCAGGAAAAATCCCATCCAAGTAACAGGTATTAGAATTCATGGTTGTCCCTATCCCTTCTTTCACATGTTCCAAAATCCCTCAGTGAAATCTAGTGCCTCCGCCCTCTAAAAAAGGAATTTTTCAGTAGTTAGACACAGAACTTTTAGAAACAGAATGAAATCATTGCTGTACATATAAATGACTCTTTTATTGATGCATAAGCATGCAAATGTCTTCTCCTCTGAAGCAAGATGATACAAGAAAATCCTCACCTGGCACTTTCAGCTCTGCATAAAAACATACAGATAGCAATAAAGAACATTAGTGTTATCTTTACTTTGAGAAAAGTGAGGTGAGATTGTAACTTCCCAGTTTAGTATGCCACACTAAGGACTGAAGTGATGTTGATGTATATTATGTTGATATACATTATTATTTGATACATATTCTTCTAATAATTTAAAATTTTTTTAATTTTATTTAAATTTTTGCCAAGAGAATTTATAAGAATGTAAGCAAAATCACATAAATATGCAATAAAACTACACTGAATTTTATGTTAACTATATGCATTATATCAAAATACTCATAAAATTCATTATACTTCATCATTTCAGGTACAGGTATACAAATTTCATCAATTTTAAAACACATGGCTTCAAATGTATGAAAATGGTATGAAAAGACAATATGAAACATTTTACAGAGCTAAGAAATAGATAATTAGTAATAATATGAGGTAAAAGTACCATTCTTAGTAATTCTGGATCCTCAGTTCCCACTCTGCCTCAAGAAACACTTACATGAGCTGTCTTTTACAGATATAACGATTTTTGTTTTCACAAGCCTCATGAGTACCACTGTTCATTGCACAATAAATTATGCATTGTGTTGGATTTGAAGGTATAATTGATGGAAATCTGTAATGCAGAACAAAATATTCACATATGGGAAAAGGAAGTGAGAATGTTCAGGGATGATATTTTCTATTAAAGTATAGAACTTTTAAAAGCACTTAAATGGCATATTAACATGTTGCACAATTTCTTCTTTCAATAATCACAAATTTCATGTTTCCAAGAATACAATATTCCAAAACACTCAGTTATTCCCTTACTAATCCGTATGCACTGAGGCCAGAGATTCTTTTAGTTTTACCGTTGTCATTAATGGTTTTGATGTGTGCATTGCTTTACTTCTGTTTTATTTAAGATGTATTATCTGATCTAGTCTAGGAAAACAATCAGAGCATCAACTCTGACATTGTGTGATGCTGAAAATCCCACATTCATAACTGAAAATGAGATTCAAACATTATAAATATATAGAAAATAAACCCAGAATATTTAACAGAGGAGAAGATGCTGAGAATATTGGACTCCACCAGAATAAAATATAATGGACACACCATTTTCTCTGCCCTGCCCCATGCATGTGAGCACCCGTCTGTACATGCACATGTCTCCAAGTGTTTTACTAAGGCAAGCTAAAGCATAGGTCAAAAGTTCTTTTATGATCACAACCACACTAACTTTCATGTCCTTGAACACAAACTTAGGTGGAGCTTCTCATGCCCTAGGTGGGTTATTTTAGTTTCAGTGCTTCTAGATGCTACTTTCACTAATCACATCTAAGGATTAATTTGCAAAAGTCAAAAAAAAAAAAAGAAAGAAAGAAAGTTCTTGACTAAACTTACGATTCCTGCAAAAAAGGAGAGTCATCCTCCCAAAACCAGGCAGCACGTTCTTTGTTGTAAGAGAGTCCAATCCAGTAAAAGTGTTGATTGGAGTGCATAAAAGCCTGCTTAGAGTCAGAGACAAACAGATTAGCTGATTTGAATATTTTCTGGGTCTAACATCTTTTTAAGGACATCAGTGTTCAGAATAAGATTCAGCTTGTCCATCATAGAAATTACTTCTAACTGCCAATTTAGAAAGTATAGTCAAATGCCTCAAATTGCTCATTTATCAGGCCCATTTATTTATGGGGAAAAAATACCGTAAAATCTTACTTCTTGAAGTAGTAAAAAAGCTTAAAGGCAGATAGTTTTCATGGTAGCTTCCTTCATAGGAGATCCATGATAAAATTTGATCCCACATTAACACTATCACAAAGGATAAATCCCAGGGTTATAACCTACTCAACCTCAACTCAGCACAGACACTGAATGAAACTGGAGACATTTTTCACTTTTTCCTAAGAAGTGGGTAATTTGGGGCAGCACCTGTAGTTCAGTGAGTAGGGTTCCAGCCCCATATACCAAGGGTAGAGAGTTTGAACCCAGCTCCAGCCAAACTGAAACAAAAAAAATAGCCACGCATTGTGGTGGGTGTCTATAGTCCCAGCTACTTGGGAGGCTGAGGCAAGAGAATCTAAGCCTAGCAGTTGGAGGTTGCCATGAGCTATGACATCACAGCACTCTACTGAGGGGGATAAAGTGAGACTCTGTCTCTAAAAAAAAAGAAGTGGGTAATTTTTATGATTATACTTTCCATTCTTGTTTCATATTATATCCAAGAAAAATGCCAAAAGCTATATAGTCACAAAGGAAATTATAAATTCCATTAAAAGAACTAAAAATTGCAAAGTCCAAAATAATGACCTGTTATTTCCCATTTGAATTTTCCCTGAAATGTTTCTCGCACTTTATCTGTCACCTAGCTTAATTTTTATCTCTAAGATGTAAATCTTTGAGGAATTTTATGCAGGTTTTACAATGATTGTTTTAAGGTACATGGAATTGATAGGTCATTAGTTCTACTTACTACAGAGAGTCCCTGAGCTACTAACATCCCACTGAAATGCAGCTCGCTTACAAGTGGGGATAATAAGTACCTGTTCCAACTTGCAATGGATTCGACTAAGAACAAACCTACAGAACCTATCTTGTTTACAACCTGGAGACCACCTGTAATCTGATTAAAGTCTTGAGTCAAAGTGTTTAGCTTATTTAGATACTTTGATTTCCAGAGCAAAGAAAATATAGGAGGCTAGAATCAAGTACGTGCCAGTTCATCTTCGTTTTCAAGCGGAAGCAAACTGGAATTGTGAGAAACACAGAATTTCCTACTTTCTTTCCAAGTTTTCGCTTCAGTTGAAATGAAGTAACAGTTGCATTTGTACCCAACCCACTTCTCTGGGCAATACCAGCAGTCAGAGGCTAAGAGAAAAAAATAAAACATCACAAACAACATGGGATATTTCAATTTTTTATCAATATTGAATTATTTAAAATAATTATCTGTTTATTCATTTTATTCTACAAATATTCTTTGAGAATCTACTGTATATACCACTGTTCAGGAACTATTAATACAAACAGATTATATATGATAGTTTCTCCTCATGAAGATTATGTTTCAAGGATAGATTCAGAATTATATAATTTCCAATTTTTGTTAACTATATGTGATGGTAATTTAGGTGAGTTTACAAAAGAAATTTAGTATGTTAAAACAGCACATGATAGCATATACAATGGGGGCATTAGAAGAACATTTTCTGAAAGAAGTGACCCAAAGCTGAGCACTGTGAGTTAAACAAATGAAGGAAAGATATAAAGGAGGAAAATATTTTAGAATAGTTCCTGGGTCAGAAGAGAATATTCTACAATGGAAGAATTCTGATACATATTTGGACACTTTACCATTAAAAAAAGATAAGCAAATTAATCAGCTTAAGGTCGGATTAGACAGTTTATCAGTGATGTCTTCATCACTACTGGTCCACAGTAATGCTAGTCATGACACATGGCAGTCACTCAAATCTTTGCCTTGTAAGCGGTGGTGAAAGTGTTGAGATAAGACAAAAAATATAAATGAAGTCCTATAGGATCAAACAAGATGGTGAGAAAACATGGGAAGAATTTGGAGAAAAATATACTTAAAAAATTGGACTTTGAGTTGCATTCACTGAGTCAGGAAGGCTTAGAATTGCAGAAATCTGTGCACTGTTTCCTGAGTCATGAAAGAAGCAAAAGAAAGGTAAAGAGACATGAAAGTAGAGGTTATACAGACAGG